TGAGATTTCTTCTCTTTACTTAATTTTATAAGTAAGTGATTGATATAGTTGATAAAAGGTTATACTCCTCCTTTGATTATTCTTATATATTTTCTAAGAGGGAATATCTATTTATTGTCCTTTGTTTTTTTTTTAAAAAAAAGAAAAAAAAAGAAGAAGAAAAAAAGAGAAGAAAATAAAATAAAATTTGTTCTACTCCAATGATTCTCGTACCGAGTAACCGGGGGTTGGCATCTACAAATGTCGATTTTCGCGTAAAAAGGTACTTGAATTATGAGTATGCATAGCAACTTAAATAGGTGAAATGTTGAGTAACCGGGAATCTTCACCTAAAAGTGTCGATTTTCGCGTAAAAAGGCGTTCTCACTATTTAAGTAAAATTAGTATGAATAAATCCCTCTTAGTTGTAAAATAATAATAATAAAAAAGATGATTATAGGAGGAGGAATGCTATAAATTGACTATGTAATTTACTTATTTGTGAAATTAGATTAGGGTAAGAGATTACATTTAACTTGATAAATTAGGGTATAATTATCTTTCCTTTACTTGATATTATGAGTATTTAGTGTAATTTGAACAATTGTATAATGATTATTTTCCAGGTCTTGAGGAATTAAATTTGACAAAAATGCATATATTGTTTCACCTCTTGAATCATTGTAGTTTATGTGTGGATTGCTTGAGGACAAGTAATGATTTAAGTGTGGGGGAGTTTGATAAGTGACTAATTTACGTAATAATTGTATGATATTTCATATTATTTAGTCACTTTAGTTATATTATTGGAAGAAAATGAATCATTTTGGCTATAATTGGTGAAAAATATTTTTAAGTGATTAAATGAGGCTTTTATCACTTTTTAGTGGAATTTTGCGCATTTTGACAGTTTTGACACATTTTCGTATTTTGGCTATAACTTGAGCTACAATGATCGGATTGAGATGATTCTTAAACCAATTTGAAGATAAGAGATAGATCTACAACTTTGGTGAAGACATCTGAATCCAGTTTGAAGGTTTTCCAAGTCAAAAAGCCGAAGTACAGTAGCCAATTTCATTTGGTCGAAGCTGAAACAGGGCAATGAGCAGGAAAGGGTATTTCGGTCATATCTCAGCCTACACAGATCCAAATGAGGTGATTCTTGATGCATTGGAAAGATAACGCAAAAGGCTACAACTTTTGTGTTTTAGACATGAGCTGGTTCAGCCTCTAACATCAAGAAAAGATCGGTTGAAGTTGGGCCAAAAATAGAGCAAGTGATCCGCACTCGGATCCACTATTCATCCGAACCCTCGGCTGTTTCTGGGTAAGTGGAACCGTGCTCGGATCCATACGGATCCGAGGTACTGCAGTAGATCGGGATCACTGTAGCAGCCCAGATTTACTGTAGCAATCCGGCCGGAACTTGGCTGGATTTAGAGCCGGATTTCTGGCCGGATTGCGGTCAGAAAAGGCTGCTCTGTACGCGTAAAACTCAATTTCACTCCCACCAACTCACATGCGATGCTAGACATGTGAGAAACATTACCAGCTATAAGGAGAAAGTGTAAAGCCTCATTTCTTGACCAATGTTCATCGTTAAATAGCCAAATTCATTGCAAGAGAAGGGGGATTGGGGATCCAACAATAGAATAGAAAGAGATACGGGAGAAGCTTGAATTTGCAGAAATGTAGCTCTTTCATCTCCCTAGTGTTAGTTTAGCTTAGTATAGAGTAGTATAGTTTGTCCATTCTTGTTTATTATCTAGATTAGGATGAAGAAGGCAAGGAAGAAAGCTCATGTGACAAGGGTTGTATTCCTTCCAAACTCTTTATCTTTTGTACTTGATTCCAAGTTTAGTTAATATACAAGTTCTGGATTTTGTGTTCATTATGTATTTTTAAAGTTTATACCTTGGGTTTGGTTGAACTTTCTATCATTGTTAGTGTTTATTATTTGGTTATTTGATTGCTATGATTTGAGCAAGTTATTTAGCACTTTGACTCCTTAAATCATGATTAATCTGGTACCATTAATTATGATTATCTAAGGTGTTGTTTCTGCAATGAAAATTGAGATTTAATACTAGTTCAAGAAGTGCTAAACATAGGGAGTACACTCACGAAAGTAGAGGTGCATCTATGTGGTTTTAGTGATTCATTTCATGTAATTTCACTGAAGAAATGAACTTGTAGCTAATTTCATAACCATGAGAATAGGTATGGATTAGTTATGAGTATAATTGATTCACTACGAAAGTAGGTTTCACATGTTTAAGGAAATTACACCATAACTAGCCTAGATAGTAGTATTCAATGATCCAATTATAACACTTGCATGAGTAGTTAGGGATACCACAACCTAAGGAGCTGTCATTTGTTATTTTCTTGTATAATTTCAGTAGGTTTTAATTTGTTATAATTCATTGATAGTCTAAATAATAGATAAACTTTAGTAATACCGGTAATTGTTCACTCTTCCCTGTGGGATCGACCCGATATATACCCTAAACTACTAGTTGACCTGTATACTTGCAGTGAACGGGTGTAATTCGGTTTTTTAACTTGTACGTATGTTAAATACCCGTCAGAGAGATTTCTTTATTAAACTTCCGATGTGGGATACAAAGACGCACTTAACAAATCTCTACCTTGGAGTGTATCCAACATCAGCAAATAATCGACGAATAGCAAACAAACTCCACCTTCTCCATAAAAGTTCTAACGATCTCAACGAACCACAAAAGTCCTAACAAACCACAACGAGCCACCAATGAACCAAGATGCAAAAGGCTCAACAGGTCCCAATGAGCCAAATCTCACAAAATGTTAAATAGATTACAACGAGTTAAAAACCACCAACATAGTAATCTTATTCCACCTTCTTCTCAAAACCCTTGAAATAAAATACTAAAATATTGGGTTGCCTCCCAATAGGCAACAAATTGTTTTTCACAAAAAAATCTTTTAAACAAATATTATGCAAGATTATAGAATAAGGAGAAAACATTGATCAATTAAATATGTTCCAAGGAAGAAAATGAAGAAGAACTTTAGGTGAAAAGTTAGATTCTAATGACGCAACATTGAAATGAAATCTGTCCTTTCACCAACTTATGTCTCACACCTTATAGTTATTTTCCTATTCAATACACACTTTTTTAATGTTAAAATTTCAATTTAATTATACATTTTTCTAATGTTAAAATTTCAGTTTGGCTAAGTCTTACTTTTTTTTAGAATATATAACTAGGTGTTAGTCATTTTTAGAAATGTATAGTTAATTATGGAACATATCGAAATGCAAAGAGTGCAATTATTGCGATTGCATATATTTATCCACTCATTAAGTGCAATTGAGGAAGGTGCATTTGAGTTGAGTCATCACTTATAGGGGTGGCAATGGGGCGGGGGACACCTCCCCCAACTCCCGCCCCGTTGCATTTTAATTCTCCCTGCCCCCGGCTTCCCCCGCACTGCCCCCGCCCAGCCCCGCTTCTCTCACGGGAGCACCCATGGGGTTAAAAAAATTTTATTATATAATTTCATTATAATTAAATTTGAACAAATAATCAAGCACTAAAATATCAACATATCACCAAATTATTATTCATTATAACTTCACAATTGAAACTCATAAAAATAATTAAACAAAAGTTATTTGAACACAATGTAATATGATAAAACAAATATAACTAAAATAATCAAGTTTTCACTTTTGATACAAATACAACCACTAAATTATTATTGTGTTTTTTTAGAAAAAAGTGTTATTGTATTAAGTGTAGTTAGGAATTTAACATAAATGTATTAATAAATTTAGTATAAATAATTAATAATTTTTATTAATAGACATGTATAATTAGTAGTATAATTGATAATATCATTATATATATATATATATATAATTATGTACATATATATATATATTTTTTTTTCAAACGGGTGGCGGGGCGGGAGGTGGGGCGGGGGAGTATACAGAATTTTGTGTATATATATATGTATCATATATATGTATCATACAGAAGTAATTCAGAAATCTAAGTATTAAATCATACAGGGCAATTGGTGTTATCCAGTGTCATGGTCGGAGCTGCTACTATGATGGACTTGAATTTTGTGCCGTCTTATAATTAGTTTAATACCTGTGAAAATTTGACAAGGACCAATGTGGAACACGTTTTTACACATCGGTGACTAGGTCAATCCTCAAATTAAATATTAATTTGCTGGCTTCATTTCCTCAATCTTCAGTCCTCATTTTTCAACAAGACGTATAGTTCTACCTACACAACAAAGCTACATCTATTCAAATTGGTATACAGCTATAACACCAGTCATTACCTTAGATGCATTAATTTTTTTTTATAATTGCAATAGCACTATGGATCATTTTACATTCCACTAGTAATAGAAATAATAAAGGAAAAAACTCACTAAAACTAATAAAAAATACATAGAATGACATAAAGGGGAACAATAAATTATTCAAGAACATAAAAATTTTAACTCAAATGGCATAAAAGAGAACAACATTCAAGTCATCCAAATTCAACCAAAAGAAGACGAAAACATTGATACTGATACAAAACAAAAGGGCTCGTGGGATAAAGCATACTTTGTTAACTTGCGCATCTGTGTTGGTTAGGATAAATCAAGTTTCAAAAAATATAAAAAAGATATAAATTTTTAATATCACATTATTTTTATCTCAATTTCATTGATTTGTTTTTAAATTTTTTAGAAGAAAAGGAAATCGAAAAGTATCATATTCACATGGAAAGCACCTACTTTGTTACTAGCGTGTGTGTGTTATATATATATTGTGTGTATGCATGTACGTATATATACGTGTGTATCCTACAATATGTCAAGTGCCTAAAGCATTTAGCTACAGTGAAATCAGGAGAGAGTGTTGGGCTAAAAGGAAAAATAAACATAGTTTTAAAACTGAAAGGGGAGGAAAATCTAGTCATAAATATAATACTTAGTTGACATACAAAACTCAGTAAAACAGAGATACAAATTCAAACACAGACGGCTGTTTTTATTTATTAAATGTTGCATTTGTGTTCGTACAAAGATACAAACTCAAAAGCATTCTTGCGGGTACAAGCGCACCTTACATGCTAGTACAACAATGGGGAGATGTATGCATGCCAGCATAAACTGAAAACCACACCAAAGACAGTGATAGATAATTAAAGTACTTCAAGACGTTGATAGTCAGTTGATCAACGGCAGTGTTTGATTATTTCTTGTGCCAGATGAGTTCCAAGACTCCATCTGGGGTCTCAAAAACAAGTGCTTTGTGCAGATATGTGGCGCCCTCATAATCCTGGTTTTCAATGATAAGTGCGTAGTAATTGCCTCCAATAACGCTCCACGTGAATCCGCCAACCACGGCGACGAAAAGCAGCTTGCCGTGGTGAGCTTGTTCCACTACAAATTGTCCGATCTGGATCACGTGAGGGTCAGCCGGCTTCACTGGTTCTAGTGAACTGATGTCGGTCTGTAAATCCAAAACATTTTTTCCAGTAAGAAAACGCAAACAATTAGAATCCTTCAAACAACCAAACGACCAGAAAACTAAATCCAACCAATTAATAAGAAGCTATATCACTCAGAAGAAGCCTAACGAAACAATGCAAGGGACCGCCTACCCACAGATGCATGTAGACAGCTATAAATATAAAATATTGCTCAAGACAGTTCAAGAATGTTGGAAATTGCTTTAATTTGCAACTCCTTATACTTTTTCCATACAAGTTGTTTACGAGTTGATTCCCAAAACCATGCAGAAACTTGAAAAAGAAAGAAATCTACGTCTAGCTAGGCATACAATCACCATTCACCTGTCCAGTGCCAATAGCAGATTTGGCTGCAGCCATTTTTTCCTTAAAGATCTAGCTAGCTAATTAATATGAATGAAAATAGATATTTGTAACTGGTTGTGACTCTCGAAAACTTGGTAGATGAGTTTAGCACATTCAAATAACAAACCAGACTCCAGGTATTTATAGGCCTAAAAACGTGGAAATTACCCAATAAATTAATTTGTCTTGTTGGACCTAATCACCAAAATCATGGTCCACCAGCATGGAACACGTTTTTACACGTCCGTGATGAGGTCAGTGTGGAATTATACTAATTACTGTTGCTAGGCCTATAATTTTATGTTACTGTTTTATCATCACTCGAACTTTTGGCTTCATGCCCCTGGGCCGGGTTGGTCCAAGGCTAAGAGCTTCCTCCTCCCTCAAGTTCAAAGTTTGAATCACAAGACTGATAGTTGGGGATGGGAAGAGATGTGGAGAGGAGATGGAGGGTTAAAAAAAAAACTTAGGCTTAAATCTGATAATTCCAGTTGTGTAATAAGTTAGATTTTTGGCATTTCTTTCAAGATTTGATGTATTTCCTAATGAGTTGATGTAAAAGAAGACGATTGACAATTACACGAATAGATACATAGACTCTTGAAAGAACTATACGAACCAACACAAAAATAAAAGACCAGACAAATATACCCGCAATTTATAACTGCATTTTGTGTTTTAGAGTTTTTCCTATTCACTGTATGAACTTACTGATTCAACTCTCAACCTAAATTAGTTTAACTATTCAAGAAAGTCCTTATAAATGCATCTAATGTCATTGCGGTGGATGACTAATGATACATGATGTTGACGAGATTCTACCACGTATCAAATTTTAATAAAATCTAAACATCTCATTTTCTGTGAGTATGCATATAGTTTATCGAGTACAAGAATATTAGGTGTGGATCCCACAGGAATATTGTCAATTACCTGTGATTTTCGAATTCCTTTATTATTTCGACTATCACAAATGTAAAAAATTATATCTACATTATGAATATGAAATAAAAGTAATACAAATAATAATAGAAAGTCGACAGAGGTATGGAATTCATCACTACTCTTGCAAGTGAAACCACTGATTAATTGAATGTTATTATCTTGGCTAGTAATGGTGTAATTTTTTCATGTATGTGAAACCTACTCTCATAGTGAATCTATTATACTTATAACTAAATCATATTTCCTGTCGTGGTTATAAAATTAACTACAAACTCATTCTTTCTATGAAATTATATGAAACAAATTACTAAAATCACAAAAGTGCACCTCTACTCTCGTGAGTGTACTTTCTAAGTTTAGCACTTTTCTGAACTACTGTCAAATCTCAATTCTCATTACAAACTTAACACCTTAAGATTGTCACAATTAATGGCCGGTTAATCATGATTAGATAAGCAAAAGTGATAAATAATTTGTTCAAAATACTATCACCAAATAACCAAGTAAATATCACTGACGAGATATAGAAAGTTTATCCATAACTTTAGGTATAAACTTTAGTAAAACCTAATAAAATCCAAACTTGTATTATAACTAAACATGAAATCAAATGCAAAAGAGAAAGTGATAGGAAACAAGTCATCCTTGTCACATGAGTTCTAACTCTTCATCTTTACTCCTCAATTCTTCATACAAATCTAGCTACAAGTACAAGATGGATAATTATACTAACTATACCATACTAATGAACTAAAAAAAAACTAGTGAAGACTATATTTTAGTAGTGTTTCTAGCTTTCCAAAGTTATGAAACAAGGTCAAGAAAGTCCTTATTTATAGAGGAATTAAAGCTCCAAGTGAGTTGTTTTTAGTTGGTAATTTTTATCTCTTAAAATCACCAAAAGTTTTTTCTTGAAGTCTCTACACTTTTCTTTACAGCTGCAGCCGAAATTCTGAGTTGGATAATTAGGAGTGTGCAAAATCGAAAAATACTGATTTATCGGCTGGATTCGAATTTAATTCGAAATTTTCAAAATCGGTAATTTGGAATTTGGAATGGAAATTGGTTTTTCCTATTTCAAATTATGCGAAATCAGTTGGAATTCGATAAGATAATGAAATTTATGAAATCAAAATTTTCAATTTCAAATTCACAATTCAAAATCAAGAATCGAAATCGGTATTCGATTTCAAATTTGTTTTATAATATTTATATATGTATAATATAATATTTATTTTATAATATATGTAATATAAAATTTATATTATATAACATAATAACAATACATCTAACAAAACAAAACTTCAAAAAGGACAAAAAGAGCATAACCTAATTCTGTCCGAATTCGATGAGAAGTTTTACCAAAAAGAGAAAAAAGAGTAAATTTTGAGAAATTGTTTGAAAAAAGGAAAAAAAGAAAAAAAAAGCTTCCGAATTCGGTGAAATCAGAAATTAACAAATTTCAAATTGAATTCGAAATCAAATTTGAAATCGAAATTAGTGAATTCAAAATCAAATTCGGTAGGTAATTCAGATGCCAAAATTTCAAAAAATTTCGAATTCAAACTTTCGATTTACTGATTTCAAATTCGTTGCACACCCTTATGGAGAATAGATGGAAAAGTTATGTGAATGCAGAACAAGTTGATGAGCAAGTTGTAGTTGCAATATAAGAATACATGACCTCTGAAAACGCGGGCATGAGGTCACGTATTACCCCACGTTTTGTGTCTTTTGTAGGTTTTCTCAAATTTGGCCAGTTTTCAACTTTGTTTTGTTTTTGCATCAATTTCAATTGATATTGTTTTGATGATGGAGGCTGAACTAACTCTTTTGTAAAACATGAAAGTTGTAACCTTTTGAGCTAAATTTCCATTTCTTTAAGAATCATCTAATTTGGAGCTATGTAGACTGAGAAATGTCCAAAATACCCTTAATTGATCAAAACTCTGTTTCAGCTTTTGACAACAAAATGGCCAACTGTATTTTGACATTTTGACTAGGACAATGCATGAACTAAATTTTGATGTTTCATAAGAAATGTAGAACTATGTGTTAGCTTTAAAATGGTTTAAGAATCACCTCAACCAATACCTGTTGTTCAAGATATAGCCGAAATGCCAACAGGTATCGAAGCTATCAAACTCCCTTTCTTCTACACTTGACTGCAATCCATCTTTAAAACATTTTGCACTTCATATTCTCTTTATATCATTTCAAATCATCAACACTCATCTAACTATCTCCTCCATTCATTCCATTTGATGATTGAATCATTGAAACCTATAAAAACATGAAGTTTTTATCACTTTAATTCATAAATATGCAATTATCACACTTTGACCACAAAATGCATAATTCACTAGAAACCTAGTTCATTCGCCATAAAAGTGAATAAAACACATCAAAACTAAATAATAAAACATATTTAAATCACTCAAAATACAAACTTATCAAAATCCCATATACTTGAACCATTGCTTGTCCTTAATCAATTAAGAATTATAAACCAACAATGATCCAAAACTTTGAAAGTAAACATATGTGAACACTTCAAATTCACCTCCTCAAAACAAGGTAAATAACTATTATGCGATCATTCAATTAAGCTCAAGTAATCATAATATCAAGTAAAGGAGAGCCAATTATGAGATAATTGTAACTAGTTCAAGTCAATTCCTCATCTTTTTTCAATTTCAAAAGCAAGTTACTCCTATGGTCAATAAAAAAAAACTTCCTAAGTCTATGATCATCTTCTTTTCTAAGTTCAAAGAGGGATTTATTCATACAATATATCTAAATGTTTACTCAAGTTGTGAAAGTGACTTTTGACGCGAAAATCGACAATTTTAGATAAAATTCGCCAGTTACTCAACATTTCACATTCTGAAGTTGCTTTGCATACTCTTAATTCAAATACTATTTTCTACGAAAGTTGACATTTGTAGATGAAGACTTTTGGTTACTAAGTACAAGAACCATTTGAGTAGAACAACTCTTATTCTCTTCTCTTTTTTTTCTTTTTTCTTTTTTTTTCTACTTTTTCCCCTTTTTGTAAAGAAAAGATACCAAAGGAAAGATAAAAATTATTCCCTCAAAAGAATAATCATGAGAAGAGTATCACAGTTATTGACCATATTAATCACTTAACTATATAAAATCAATTAAAAGAAGAAATTTCATCAAACATGCAAAATTTAGGCATAATTATCTCCGCTTTACTAGATATATTTTATAAAAAATGTAAAAATTCTAATTGCATAATAGCTATTCTGTTTTTAATCCAATATTTCATGCAAATATCACTTTTATTGATACTCAAAAAGTTACGGAAGAGGCAAGACTATTGTGACATGGTCATGGTTGCAGTTTAGTATAGTCATAAATACATGGAAGATCAGGTAATCTTATAGAAGTAATTCAGAAATCTAAGTATTAAATCATACGGTGCATATGGTGTTATCCAGTGTCATGGTCGGAGCTGCTACTATGATGAACTTGAATTTTGCGCCATCTTATAATTATTTTAATACGTGTGAAGACAAAGACCAATGTGGAACACGTTTTTACACATTGGTGATTAGGTCAATCCTTAAATTAAATATTAATTAGCTTGGCCTATAAATTAAATATTCATATACTCAATCTTCAATCCCCGTATTTAAACAAAACGTACAGTTGTACCAAGACTACAAAGCTACAGCTCTTCAAATTAGTATATAGCTATAACACCTGTCATTACCATAAAAGCATTGATTTTTTTTTTTTAATAATTGCAATAGCACTATGGATCATTTTACATTCCACCATTAATAGAAATAATAAAGGAAAAAACTCACTAAAACTATTAGGTCTGGTCCCAGGAAATTGACCAACGAGAATAATAGAGTTCTTACAAACTCGATAATGACAATAATAAAGCAAATAAATTAAACAGAGAAACACAAGAATTTATGTGTTTCGGTCCAATTGACCTACATTTACGAACGAAGGGGTAGCAGATTTATTATAATAAAAAGAGAGTACAAAAGAGAGAGTATAAAACCCTAAAAAATAATTTTTAGGTTCAAAAGGCACCTAAAACTGAAAACACAAAAGTGTCTAAATAGCACTAAATACTTAAGGGCCCAAGGGCACATGGCTTA